ATCCTTTTCGCTACATGGCTTTTTCCATTCCATTGCTTTCAGTTATGTCCTCGGTAGTGTAAAGGATAATTTCCATGCAGAGACAGAACCAGGCCTGTGGTAATCAGCAGCCATGTTGAACAGGTGGGCAAAGTGCTGATTCATACAAGATGAATATGAAGTAATGTCTGAGTGATATAATGTCTTTACTGATTGGCCATGCATAAATGTACATGGATATAAATGTGTGGGACATGTGGAGAAGATGTGGATCTCATCCTGATGAGTGCTATGTTGTTATGCTGTCAGACTGGACTGTGAGAACTTCTGTATATACTTGTAAATATACATGGTGTTGGGAAGAAGCTGCCTGTGTGTGTGTCATTCTACTGGACCACCAGGACTGAGTTAAAACTGCTAATATACTGCAGATTCTGCCAACATGTTGTTATTACGAAACATGGAGGAATGGGAGAAAAGAAATACTTAGGAACTAGTTACTTAGGAACAATTTTATTATAATGTCAATTGTAAGAACACAAGACTTTCTTAATTCTTCTTCTGATCAAATGAAGTGAGAGAAACACTGGGAGTTTCTTCTTCCCATGGATACCACAGGATCTGCAAGCATTAAGTTATTGACAATCCTTAAGTGACATGGAATTCTTATAACTGCTTATTTCTGTAGATCAAGCTGCTTGTTTAGCAGCACAACAAACCAGGCTTGATGTTTTGGTGATACTCATCTGGCCATCTCTTGTGCCAGAACTTCCATCATCCCAAATAAATGCAGTACATGTTGCAAAAGTATAATTTGAGAAGTTGTATGGATCTGTTGTTAATAGACTGTACAGCTCAACATTGCATCCTCAGTAGTTACAACTGCACTAAGGCAGAAGTGCTATCCATGAAGCATCTCCACTGGCCCACAGCACAATTGCTCAAACAAGAACTGCATGATTGGTTGGACAATCACACAGTCCTTGCTGCTTGGACAGAATGCCTGGCATATTCACAATGGTGTAATTTTACATTATGCTTCAATAAACTGGACTCTAGCTGCTGGTGTATACAGATTGCTTAATTGCTGAGACAATTATTAAAATATAAGAACAAAATTTATGAAGTTGTTGGGAAAGAATATTGGTAGGAATGTTTATGAAAGGAGAATTTTATCTCTAAATAGCCCTTTCAATGACCTGTGAATGACTTGCACCACACTTCTAAAAATATGCATTTAAAATCTTTCTTTAGTGCCTAATAATACACATTCTGGAGATACGCCTACAAAAATGCTGTAAGAACACGAATTGTGGATCCATGTATGACATATAGAATTTAGCATGCAGAGTGTAGTTTTCTCAGGCTAGTTCTAGCTCATATCATTGCTACTGAAAACATGCTAGCTACAAGCTGAAAGCTTAGAAAGATTGGACACAGGTGGGTACAACCTTAATTATTTGTACAGCTCCTAGTCCCTCATCTGTAGCATCTATTTCAGTTATCTCTTTGAGTCTCCTACTCAATGATTCTTCTTCTCATGTCCTTTCCCATTTTACGGCATTCATATCTCATAGTCTTCATACTTGTCAGAAGTTATTTGAAGAACCCAATATTGGTAGTAGGCAAACATATTCCAATTAGGTGCATTTCGTAACAGACTAGCATATAAAGTAGACAGCAACCCAAGCAAAATTTTATTCTACAACAGTTTCAAGGAAAGAAAATGACAGGTTGCCCATGTCCAATTCAGATTTGTTGAGTGGTCATCTATGTTTTCACACAATTGGGTTCTGCGTCTGTATAAAAACTCTCCACTCTTCCAGAGCTTTAGCCTCAAGTCTTTTCTCCCTTGCTTTTATTGCACGTCTCACCCATTTTGCTCAGTTCCACCTTGTTCACCACAAATGTTATGTTTGGAGAATTGGGCAGGTAACATACTTAATGTCTACTCAAAGAACCAGCTACAGTTGAGTAACCTATTCTTCGTTGTGGTCTCTATGATTCACATAAATGGGTTACTGGAAAGCTCACTTACAAGAGGCAGGTTGTCATCAAAGATAGGACTGCTCTACCAAATGAAGCATCTCTTGGAGCTCTTAAACACATTTCCCAAAGAATGTTTCTCTTTGTTTTCTTGTTACTGTAATAAGTGAACATGTCTACCTTCAGCTTTCCCCATCTATTAAGTACTGCATAATTGAGACAATTCCCATTTCAGTGTCCTTTTCAATATTTTGCCTTTTAATAGTCTTTGCTGGTGACATGAACCACTATTGGAAAAATGTGTTTATAATGCTCCATTCTCATACAGGAATTGACAGGTAAAGGTGGCTCATTGGTTTTGTTCCCCCTTGCTTGTTTATGTAATACATACCTGTTGTATTGTCTGTTACTATCCGGACAACTTTCCCAACTATCATGTTCTCAAATGCTTTCATCGCTTTATCACCAAAAGTTCTAAAAAAAACCCTGATGTGATGATTCATGGGATTTCCATGTGGCGTGTGCCTCTTTCTTTAGACATGGTGCTTCCCATCCAGTTTAGCTTTAATCTGTTATATAATGGATGGACATAACTGATGAAAGGGTATTCGCATTTCAGGATGCTCCTTTCTTCTCCACCATATCAGATATTATGTCAAGATCGGTGATAGAAATGTCTTGAAGTACGAGTCTCTTTTTTGTCATAGCTCAGAATATTCATTCAAGGGTCTTGTTTTCAACTTGGCATGATATACTATGGCCATTGCCGCAAGGCATAATAGCCTCTGAATTGAGTGTATTGTTGCTGTTGGAGAGGCACACCTTCTCATTGCTCAGCATGTAATTTTGTTCATCCTGTCTTCTAGTAGATAAGCTCTCATTGTAATCAAACTGAAAATAGCACCTACATACTATTGAATGTATGTGGAAGGGATTGTCACTCTTGAATTGGCCTTCTCAGACATACTAGATGCTGTTCCAAGTCCTCCATACAGAGCACGTTATCATAGTCTTTCGAGACTGAAGGATGCCTAATATAATCTAACTATTGAACTGCTCAGCAAGATATTAGATGAGATTTTTTTCAGGTTTACTTTCAGTCCGAGATCCAACGGAGTTCAAAAGGTGTAATTTACATTATCTGCAACAATGTTCTGATTGTTTGCTACAGTAACTGATCATCTATGTATGGGGAAATGGTATTATCTTACATTTGCAGGAAAGCAGCTACCAATGCAATATGTTTGTGAACAATCTTTGAGCTGTTGATAGACTGAAAGGAGGAACTTTGAATTGGTAAATATTTTGACCCACGTTGACACGAAGGAAATAACAATGTTCTGGTTTTACTGAAACATGAAAGTATGTTTCCTTTATCCCTATTGCTGCAAACCAATCCCCCTGCTTCAATAGTGTCTGCAAAGTCACCATCTGAACATTTTTTGCTGTTATATACCTGTTAACTTCTTTCAAGTTTAGAATTGGGAATAAACCACCATCCTTTTTTGTATCATAGAATACCGAGAAAATCCATTATACAAATAAAAAAAGTAAGTTAATACTTAGGCATGACACTTTGGACTCACTGTAGAAATCAGACCAACTTGCATCAGGATTTCTAAGGAAACTATACCCAAAGCAGAAAGAATTGCTATTTCAGCCTTCAGTCTAGTACAAGATGTTACTAAAAATCTGGTCCATAGGGTGTTCGTGTGTGTTGCTCAAAGTTTTTCACCAGAAACACATTCCAGGATCAGATAAGTTCCATCAAAAGCTAGTCCTACCACCGGAAGCAGGGTTTAGAAAATTACAGATTTTACTCCATTTGCCATTCTGTGTTGTCCATATGGATAAATTGTCATTCTGCGCTGTCCATGAGTAAAAGGCAGAAGGAGAGATTTCAAGCTTTAATTTAAAAAGATGCCTCTCCCCCCGCCTGCTCCCGAAAGCACAGTTGCTACCATTAGCTGGTATGACAAGGTAACATGGAAACCTCTCACCACTAGAAAAAAAGCCCTTCTTCATACATATAGTATTTGGAACTACAGCTCTTATCTGATTAATAGTTTAGAATGAAATCCTTAATTTGGCATTTTGCACTGAGGTGTTGGCCAAAATATAGAACCTGCTGTCAAATTAAAAAAGGGGGATTAATGTTTTATTGAAAAATCCATGAAGGAGCCAAAGTGGTGATTTGGGGCTGGATTAAGTGCTTTAAACAATTAGCAAGAAGTGTAGTAGAAACAACATGGGGCACGTTTTGTTAATCCATGCATAAACAGCAGTAACAACAAAAATGTTTGATGTTTTAAATTTGGTATGTCTTAAATTGTGTTAAACTTGTTTGTCTATTTCACTTTTATGGTGTCTTTTACTCAGGTGGCAAGGGCTCTAGGCAGCTCACAGTAAAACAAATAAAAATTTAAAACAAGATATGTGAATCATTAAAAAGTTATCAGACATGAATGTTTTAAAGAACAGATGGAAATACATAAAACATCAAAACACACACAGACATAAAAGTATATAATGGCAGGAAGTGTAGGGCATCTAGCCATGATAAAATTAAGTATTAAAAGCTATCTGCATAGCCTCAGATGGGAGGATATTCCATAACCTGGGAGCAAGCACTGTGAAGGCCCTCTCTTGGGTTCCATCAGACATACTTGTGAAGAGGAAGGGATGGAGAGGAAGAAGGTCTTAAGACTTGAGGACAATATATGGGGAGATATGTCCATTGGACAGCCTGGGCCCAGGTCATATACAGCTGTATAGGTTTTAACAAGTACTTTGAATTGGACTCAGAAATGAACTAGTAGCCAGTGCAACTAACAAGAGAGTTAGATGCTCCTGATAATGAATCCTAGTCAACAGACTGGCTGCAACATTTTGCAACATTTTGAAATTTCTTGAACCATCTTCAAAGGCACCCTCACATAATGTATGTTAAAATATCCCAACAAAAGAAGCCAAGGGGATTCCAGCATCACCCTGAAGACCAACTTGGCTAGCTGAGGCGGTGAGATCATTAAGCAGCAGGATGGGTAGTATACCAATAGAATCTCTGTTCTGTCCTAGACACCAACTTCCAGGTAAATACACTCAAACTGAGAAAAAATGAGGAATGCCACACCTGATATGACAGACAGAATCAGAACAGACCACTGCAACTCCACTGCCACCCTAGGGTCTTATTTGTGCTCCACAGAAAATCCAGTTGAGCAGAGGTAGGAGAGATCAACTCCCCCAGTCTCATCCAAAATTCTGCATTTCTTCAATAGGCAAAAAGCTACTTTTCATTATAAAGACATTAGAACTAGTGGTAAATAAAGTTTTACTTTATTCAACACTAGAGTAGATGATTTATGCATTTAATATTCAGATTTTGTATTTTCATAGAAAAGGGCTGAAATTAGAAAAAGTAAAAACCAATTGAAGCAACTATACTGTACAATTTGATACAGGTATCAAATTAAGCATAAAGAGGTTTATGCAACATGACTAAACATCGTTTTTGGACTGGGTATTCACTGTCGGCTGGCTTTTCCATTTTCGGTGGTTTCCATTCTAAAAAGAAAAAGGAAAAAAGCTAATTAAGTTCACCTTATAATACTAAATAATTTATGAATAATTATTTAAAATGAATTTCTTCAGACTTTACAATTAAAATCATTATTCCATGTGAATTCAGCTGCCTTTTAAAAACACAGCTCAAGTTACCACACATGCTGAAAGCAGTTTAAAATAACCTTCAATAAAAATTATAATTCAAGGGCTGCTATTTATCCTAAACATATAGTATTTTTCCGTGTATAAAACAATACTTTTCCCTAAAATACGAGGAAAAAGTGAGGGTCGTTTTATACACAGAAGGAGACAGTCACACGTGCATTCAGGCGCCTCTGAGTGCCGCCACTGCCCCATTGCCTCTTCCAGAGCTCACAGCTTGTTCCCTTTGGTGGCCGAGGCAGCAGCAGCAGGAAGCGGAGATGGAGGCGAAGGAGCAGTCACTTGTGCTTGGGCGCCTCTTGCTGCTGCCTCCCCCGCCCACCCGATTACCTCCTCCAGTGGGGCTCAGCAGGAGGCAGAGACAAACGAGCACTCTCATGCTCTCACTCTCAGGTGCCTCTTTCTGCTGCCACCAAATCACGTCCCCTAGCCAATGTCTCCTTAGGGCAGGGGACAAAGCAGTGACGTGAGTTGGAGGCAGCAGCAGCAGGAGACGGAGGTAGAGGAGCAGTTGCCCATTAACAGCTCCTTCTCCTCCATCAAGGGACAAAATTAAGGGGTCATTTTATACATGGGGGGTCGTATACACGGGAAAATACAGTATTTGCTCCAAAAACCTAAAGCAGGATACCTATATTGAAATATGTTATAACAGAAAAGAGAAAATCAGATCACACCATTTCCTCCAAACGTATAAACAAGATCTTGCATTACTAAGCCTTGCCAATTAGTTAAAAAGAAACCTAACACTGCCAAGCAAATGGAGTAATTTGTGTTTATCTACTAAAATTACATTTATATATTTAGCCATACAAACCCATTCTCCTCTTTAAGATGTTGGTACAGTTCAGCTTTATTGTTCACAGAATTCAAGCGTCCCATGAATTCTTGATGTTTCCTAGAATTTGCAGTGTTAATTCTGTTGCTCCATAAAGACAGCAGAGACATTGGGCCTAGAATAAGATTTAATATACAGAATATAAGTGTACACATCAGTTTGCATTCTCAAAAACAGTAAGCATGTTTCGTTGTTACATAGAGCATCAACTGTGTTCCTAGTTCTATTTGATCCAGAAAAATAATCACCTCCCCCATTGAGAAGGCAGATAAACAATTTACAGCACCTGAATTTTTTGTATACAAAATATGATAAAATGTGACACCCTCCCTTTGGAATGGACTCCTGGTGGAGTTGAGCCTGAGTCCCTCCCTCTCTGCTTTTAAGAGAATGTTAAAAGCTAGATTTTTGCCACCGTCTTGCCATTGTTTGAGTTTGCTTGGTTCTACATATAATTGTATTGTTTTCTCTTTTTATCTGATGATTCGGTATCTTTTGTCATATTATATTATACATAAACCTGACCTGTGTCAATACAACTTATGAGCTCATGCAACAAAATTCTGATTTTCCACAAAGCACTCCTCAATCCATTAGAGACGACAGTACAAATAGTTTCCAAAAAATTTTACAAAACAGAATCAAACAGCAAGAAGCCCTTTTTGACAAGTGAAAGTGAAATAACTCTAGCAACTGTCTTAGTTTGATCAAGGAACTATTACAGCTTAGACCAAACTGTTTCATTGTGTTCTAATGGAATAATGTTCTGGTTAGCAACTGGCAGAGGAAACAGTGGCACATTCCTCTCTGAACTGGCAAGGCCATCCAGCACTGCCCTTTCTCCTGAAGAGATGAGGAAAGTGTAAATGTCAGTGTAAGCTTTAAATTTTATTATGGTTTTTAAAAGTCCAAGATTCAACTTAAAAACATACACATCATACATGAGGTGTCTGGTGACAAATATATCATTTTTCAGTTTAACGTTTTTGTAATTATTATGGATTTACCTTTGGATTTCTCAGTGGTTGGCATTTCATCCATTGTAATGAGAGGCTTTTTGTTAGGTGGTTCAGGAGAATCAGGTGAATCTTTTATTACTTCTGCTTCTGCCAGTTCCTCTTTTTCACGATCTAATAAACTTTTCAGCCTTTGAGATATAGAATAAGAATTATAATTGCATTTCTGAATCCAGCATTTTAGTCCTTTAAGTTACAATATACTGGTATTGTCTAGACACTCAAATAAATAAGGGAAACAGGAAAGCTAAGTAGAAAAGAGATTCATATTAAAACTACAGCCAGTATTTTACAACATATATTCATTACTCCTAAAGCATGGTTACGTCAAACTGTATAGCCCTGATTAAAGCCAAATCACCTTTTTAAAAAAAGGGTAGCACTTTAAGTACACACAAACACTTCTGGTTTGTTATCAAGTACTGTACATTATTGCTGAAATCCTGTTGTATAGCTCTGCCTTTGCAACAGGAATGACAGCAGCAGCAGCAGACTGTTACCGATTAAAGCAGTGGTCAGGGAACAGGAGTAAATTACCCAAAATGGGGTAAAAATGAAAATCCTGGGGGTAATGAGTAGAGCGCTACCCCCCCACTCCCACTCCCTGCAGCCAAACCTCAAACTGGAAGCCACCTCTCCCTGCTACCATCTTTGGTTGTGCCACTTGTAAATCCATTCTTTCAGAGATCAGAGATAAGGCTGCTTGATTGGTTACAGCTGCAGAACAGCCCCGGGCAATCAAGGTGGATGGGAATGACTACTGTTTGTCCAAAGTTGTGTAACTTGCCATCTGGACCCAGCGCTTACTATGGAATCCCAGGTGGCGTCTGTGGTCCGTTCCGCCTTTTTTCATCTTAGGCGGATAGCCCAGCTGCGGTCCTACCTTGATGTTGGGGCACTCACCACCTTGGTGCATGCGCTCGTAATCTCAAGATTAGACTACTGTAATGTGTTCTACGTGGGGCTACCTTTGAGGCTGCTGCGGAAACTGCAGGTGGTGCAGAATGTGGCAGCCAGATTACTCAGTGGAGTGAGAAAATACCAACACATTTCACCCACTCCGGCCACATTGCATTGGCTGCCCATCCGATTCCGCATCGACTTCAAAGTGTTGATGCTCACATATAAAGCCTTTAAACGGTTTAGGACCTCGATACTTGGCGGAACGCCTTCTCCCGCCAAGATCTACCCGTGTCACTCGTGCGAGCCAGGAGGTGAGGCTGAGGAGCCTAAC